GCTGGATTCCCCTGCTTCGCTACGAAACCATGTGATAGGGTCAGCCCGCAGGCTGAATGAGCCACATGCTGGCCATGCCCATATAAGGCAACTGGCAGTTGGTACAGAGTTCCTTTCAGGTGGGAAGGGGAAGTAGAACGTCTACGTCCTTAGCATCGACTTGTTAATATAAAACTGTATAAGAAATACTGATGATCTGATGGTCATTTCAAAAAATCATTCCTTAGCGAGCACTTAGAAGCCAAGAGAAACATACATGCCAAATTTCAAGTTCGTAGGCTTTACAGTTCTGGAGACTCCATGATGATACATGAGTGGTATTTTGCTTTTATATATATAAATTCCTTTTTAATAGACTGCAACATTTGGAGTAATGGCATATTTTTTTAACAAAGCTCTTTTTTCATTTTGTATATTGAATTTAGAATAAATATAAACCCAACCAATTTTTACCCTTCCTTAAATATTAATATCTGTTTTGTACCTCTTTGATTTGCAGTTTTTAATTTTATTGTACTATATATTAAATGATGCTAGCTGCTCTGAGAAATTTATTAAAGAACAGGCTATACATCATTCCACTAAATGAAAAATAAATAAATTATGTTTCTCTGAAGAGGGATTTGATAATTATTTCCCCTCTATAGAAAACTATTCTATTTAATACTTAACAACAACAAAAAAAGATACTGGTTTATAGTTTTAACTTTGTGCAACTTTCTCTTTGGAACTTAAAATACATTTTGAAATGTATTTCTCCTTCCAACAAGAAACTATGGTTAGTTATAGAAAGAAGCCAAATGGAAATTACTTCAAGGAATAATGAATCAAATCTCATCCTTCACCCTCTCCTAAGCTCTTGACATTTGTCAAATACTTTACACCAGGCGTTCAACCTTGGTGACTTTAAGACTTATGAACCTCAACTCCTAGAATTCTCCAACCAGCATGAAGGTTGGGGAATTCTGGGAGTTGAGGTCCACAAGTCTTAAAGTTGCCAAGGTAGGACACCCCTGTATTACACCTTCTTTCTCCAACCTTGATGCCTTCCCAGTGTATGGTTTTCAAACCTCAGAATTCTTTGACATACCAATGCCTGCTGCTAAATTCTTGAACTTTACATATTCAGAGGATAACTAAATTGAGAGAGGATGATTGTACAGAGACCAGAGCATACCAAATTGTTGCTATCTGTCTTCTATATCAGGGTGTTAAACTCACATCATCATGGCAGCATCACATGACATGTTGGGACTTTTCCCCCCTTTGCTAAACCAGCCATGGGTGTGGCCAGCCTGTGACACATTCAGCCCATGGGCCAGGAGTTTTACAGACCTGTTCTATAACATTGTGCAGGAAATGCTCAACCGAAAACTCCATAAATTTATGGGATATGGGATGAAGAGATATTTGCTTAATCTTAGACAGAGCGAAGAGTTATTATATGTATTTATACCTCTTGCGATGAAGGTTGGAAGTCACTTTTTTCTATTTTCTTTTTTCTTCATTATATTTTTCTTTTCTTCTTTTTCTTTTTGCCTGCACTTTTTATTTTTTCTTTCAGGAGTGGGCTGCTGCAGGTTTGCACGGGTTCGAGCAATCTTCTAGCTAAGGATGTGACGAGTTTGGTGAACCCGCAAATCCCAACCTTGGCTGACCCCGCCCCACCTGCCCTGTCCCTCCCACCCCACCCCTCCCAAGAGTCTCCATGCATCCCATTTGGGATGCGAGATAAGTACAGGGCCTGCACGGAGGCTTGGGGAGGGTGAAAAATGGGACTTCCAGAAATTCCAGACGTCCAGAAATGGGCCCATTTTCAGCTTCCAGAGGGCCTCTGGAGATTGGGGAGGCCATTTTCCCTTTCCCAGAGGCTCAAGAAAAGCTTCTGGAGGCCGGAAATGGTGAAAACACCCCCCTCACTGTGGGTGAACTAGGCCATGCCCACCATGGCCACACCCATACAGCAACCAGGCAGCTGTTTTTTTTTAATTTTGAAACCAACCACTGCTTTCTTTCCATTCTATTTTTCCCCTCTAAGTTTAGTATTCTTTTTTTTTACTATTGTGATAAGATTCTACTATACAGAAACATAGAGAGAGAAGATGAAAGGGAGAAGATTTTTAAAAAGTCCAAGAGAAGGTTGAAAATCAGGCTCAAATTAATAGGGTGGAATTTAACAGACATCAATTTAAATTCAGTAAAACTCAACACATAAACACTGCCTGTCAACCTGTTCCGTGTTGTTTGCTCAAACCTTTCAACTTGCTCATTATTTACTGTGCATTGACTTTTTTAAAAAAATCTTGTATTGATAGCTCTTCAGATTTGATCTGCAGTCAGATGGTTCTGAAATCAAATAAATAACTCAATATAACAGATGGAGGGTGATCAAACTTCATGGGATCCTGTCCGTCAGAGCCACATATTTCTCTATGTTTGCCATAATAACATCAGGGATTCCATTAGAGTTTTATACATATAATTACCTTAATATTCATAATGTATACATGCTGTACATAAACATTCTGCCTAGGAGTCTCAATTTTTCTAGCATTGCTGCTTATTAAACAGAAGGAGAAGGTACATTTGCACACAGCTCCAACAATTGCAGCCTTTCGTAAAAATTCACCAACGCGTTCTTTTCCCCCCAGTGCTTCAGTATCTATATATATGGCTGTTTCATCCGATGATGGAAAGAAAATTGTCTATTGCTTATTGTGACTGCAGTACTAATACGAGTGCTTGATCACTTTTTAGACTCCTCTCACCTATCATCCTGTTTCCACTTGTCCCCAGCTTGATATATTTTTGAAGCTTGCAGAAAAGGCATAAAAGTAACACTTTTTNAAGCCTCCTCAAGGCTATGCACGGCCATTTTGGTGAAGGGGGCAGGGTTTGGGGAGGCAAAAAATCTTGTATTCAGTGTATAAGCCACATCCAGATTTTCAGCCTCTTTTTTGAGGGAAAAAGGTTTGTCTTATACTCCAAAAAATACAGTATTTTAATTTTTCTCATTTTGCTCATTCAAACTTGTCACTTTGATTTGATGAATACCCAAGTTTTTAAAAATACAATGATGAGTAATTTAGAAGTACTCCAGCCATTGCTGGAGAAAAGGCTCTTACCTTTGAAATCTAAACTAAACTTCTCACTTTTTTCTGTCCTTCTCCTTTCCTCCCACTCTTCCTGTTATATCTCTATTCCTATCTCTTTCTCTTTCTTTCTTCTTTCTGCTGCAACTTCCCCTTTTTGCCACCCCATTTCCATTATGAATGTTATCCATCCATCCATCTATCCATTCTTCCATTTCTGCTGAAAAAACAAAGATGAATAATGTTTTATTGCTTATCTGGCATAAGTCATCTACTATATATGTGAAAAGAAAGGTATATTCAAGGAGTGAATCTCATAAAAGGGCTAATTAATTTTAATCAGTTCTTATTAATCCAATTAATATTGAATGCTTTGCCTTAGCCCAGCACTTTTACATAAACTAGCTGGTATTTGTGTACCTATCCATATCAACACACAAGTAAGTGAAACATATTATTGATTGGAAGTGTCCCAGACGTGGTATTCAGCAGGTTCTGACCAGTTCTGGAGAACCTTTAGCAGAAATTTTGAGTAGTTCGGAGAACTGGTAAATACCACCTCTGGCTGGCTCTGCCCCCATCTATTCGCTGCCTCTCAAGTCCCAGCTCATCAGCTGAGTCTTTGCCCTGCATAGGAGAATGAATCTTGAAAGCAGGTTAGTATGGTATGGAGGGAATGGGGATGTTACAGTATCCTTGTCCTGGAGTGGTGTAGAAATGGGGATTTTACAGTATCTTTGCCCTGGTGTGGAAATGTAGATTTTACAGCATCTTTGCCCTGGAGTGGGGTGGAGAAGGGGATTTTGCAGTCTCCTTCCCCTGCCCTGCCCACCAAGCCACACCATGCCCACAGAACTGGTAGTAAACATTTTTTGAATCTCACCACTGAAGTGGTCTCTATCAATGATCTCAGAGTAGCCAAAGTTAAAATTCTCCAGAAAGTTTGTCTGCATTTACCATTTTGTCTGCATACTAACACACACACATACACACACACACACACACACNAGTAGCCTGCAGTGCTGCATTTAACCACTGCGCCACATTGGCATCATCATGCCAACAATGTCCTTCCAAATTCAACAGGGAACAAACTAGCCAGACTTTGCACAAAATAATACATGGGCCCTCGCTGGACCTCAGAGCTGACAACGGCAACAAGACAATGGCACATTTTAGCCTATCAGGACCATCCTTCACTAATCTCAACACAACAGGGGTAGAAGTTTGTGCGCCACATTCACAATCAGTTACAAAAGTTGGCCACCAAATTCCATTTTTTTAAAAATCAAATCCATTCCAGCAGACTTGAGCAGGGAAAGTGGATTTTTTTTTGTCCTTTCAATTTGCAAACTGGTAGTAACACTCAGTCCCCAGGAGTCCACGAGAGATTCTTCTCAGTCTCAACTATTGCATACACTCATTAGCTTCCCTCCACTTTCCCATCAAGCCTTTTCCCATCTTTTAACTCATGTAATAGCATATATCCTCTTGCAAGTGATCAAATGGGCTGTTCATGAAACCTTATAGCAATAGTACACCCACTTATATACCACTTCAGAGTGCTTGTTAGCACTCCGGTATACAAGGTCCGTGTATTGCCCTCCCAACAATCTAGGTATCCATTTTACTGTCCTCAGAAGGAAGGCAGGCTGAGTCAACCTTGAGCCGGTCAGGATCAAACTCCAGGGTGTGGGCAATTAGCCTGTGATACTGTACTCTTAACTACTGCGCCACCACGGCTCTTCAATAAATGAGGTTTATGCCTCAATAAAGTTGACCAGCTTGGAAGGTGTTACCAGATTCCACATATTCTAACTTTGCAAATGAAAGAAACCTTAAAAAAAATTATAATTCCAGCTTCAAACAAGCCATAAAATATCTTCTCATTCCAACCTCAATCCTTACCTGCTACTGAAACTTTGGCTGTTCGACTGATGATGGCGCCAGTTCCTTCTAACGATGCTTCACATTGATAAAGGCCTTCATCGGGTTTATGATGTCTGGAATGGACAATATTTTGTATCAAAAGAGATCCATTGGAAAACTGTTGTCTTCTCTCGTCCACTGCCAAGTTTAAAAAGACGCCATCCTTTTTCCATTTGATTACAGGAAATCCTTGATCTGATTCCGCTGTACAGTTCAACAAAACGTTAGTTCCCCGTGTGGTGACGGCATCTGAAGGTTCAATCAGGAAATGCAATGTTGTAAATCCCATAATCTGTGCACCTGTTGGGATGAACAGCCAAAAATAATCTAATTAGTCATATACCAGGAAAGCATTGCTTCTGCAAGATGAATATCCCCAAAATTGGAAACATTATATATGTATTTATGTATGTGTGTATGTGTGTATGTAGGTGTGTGTGTGTGTGTGTGTGTGTGTGTGTGTGTACTACTCCACCTCCCCAACTGAAAACAACTCTGTTCCAACTGCCAGTTGCCTCACATTACGTTACCTCAGTTCAAACTGGCAGATATTCCACTCCTTCATTGAGGAGTTGTCCGCCCTGAGTGCCTCCCAGAGAAGGGTGGCATACAAATAAATTAAATCTTGAATCTTGAGGCTTCTTACAGTACTAAACATTGATACCTCATCAAAATG